ATAAATGTCCTACCATGCATGAGACAGACATACATCAAACAGTGGTCTGGTGCCAAATATCACTAGGGCAAGAATTGAAAAACCTTGCTGCAGGCTATTTGTTTAGTCTAAATTTTATGAAAATATGTACTAACAAGCATCCTAGTTTGCAATTTACACACAGAACATTGTACAATGCCTGATAATGCAGGTACTCAGAAAAGTTGAATTAATATTCTTCATTCTTTCCTTCCTTGCTTAAAAAATCCCCACTTCCCAGATAATGGAATTAGTACATGTTACTACTTACTTATTTGTCTGTCAAAAACCAGGATTCAAAGGCAAATAGCCAGCAATACATGACAATGTGTATGTCGCCTGACCCAGGATTCAGAAGTAATTTTGATGGCGATAATCTCTACTTCACACTTAAGAAATCTAGATCTTTCCTCTTCCGCCTCCTTGAAATACACAACACATTACTTAATTTCCCCCACTTTTATTTTATAACTTGTTCTGACTTCTTCTGACTGTTCATTTGTTGCTACTACTCTAGCCACACTGACAGTGTTTACTTGAATTAGTATTTTGCTTTAATGTAATATCACGATGCAGCCAGTGTGCTTAAAACAAAATATGGCAAAACAATACAAATCCTATTAAATACCTATTTGCTAACACCCTTCAATATGATACCCTTGCTCTTAAAGTAGAGAGCAAAATCCATAACATGGCTTGCTCTGGAACTCTTTAGTGTTGCCTCACATCTCCCTTCTCATTCCCTGACAAGGTCCCACAGGTCTTTCAGATTTAAATACACCAAACTCCATCTGACTTCCACTTCTGCTTGTGCTATTTACTGAGATCCTCCACTTTCCCCTATTTATCCATTAGATTTTTAGTTCAAGATATACATAAATAAAACAAAACAAAAATTCTTCTAGAAACTACCTCCAAAATTTGATACTAAATCATGCCAGAGTTGTAAATTTTCTAATTTTTTTCTCACAAAGCATTTACCATAGTTTGAGGTCACACATTTGTGTGATTATTTTATAGGTGTCTACCCCTCACACTAACCTGCACCTTGCATTAGAGAATGTATTTAACCATTTTGTTTGCCATTATTTCTCTAAAAGTGTTCACAGTGAGGATGTTACTTATATGTTAAATATCACTCAAAGGTTGAACAAGACTGTAATGTTTCTACAGCCAAAAACAGCATTTGACTTGTGAATTTGTTTTCTATCTGTGATACGTAGCTTCATATATACATACATCTCTTCTTCCCTCAGCTATAATAGGATATGTAAAGGCAGCAAAAATGTCTTATTTATCTATACATCTTTCATAGTGCTTGGTAGATAGTGCTCATGAATGTTAATATAAAAAATTGGAAAGGTAATAAGGGAAAAGAAAAAAGTATGACAAAATGAAAAAATGGAAATAAAGTGTTTGTAAATTGGGGAGGAGAGGAGGAAGTGAAGGGAGGGCAGGGACAAGGGGAAAAATGAGAACCAAGACCTGTCATGTAAAGGTACAAGATCCATATAATGAATGTAATTGTACTGTATACCTAAAATGTACCAATACACTCAATAAAAGAACAAAAAACATCCATAAAAAATGGAATGCATAGCTTAAATGGCATTCTTCTTGAAAGACAAAGTAAAGGGACATGATGATATGATACAGATATTACTCAAATGTTATGGTTTATATCTACAATGTCCCCCTGAAAATCCATGTGTTTGGACAAGGGCCTTTGAAAGGTGACTGGATCAGGGGAGAGCTCTCTGTACTGAATGTGCTCTTAGGAGGTGACTCATTGCAGTTGGGTCACTGGGGGCATGGCATGGAAGGGTGTATTCTTGTCACCAGTCTCACCCTTGTCTCTCTGCTTGTTCCTTGCCAAAAGTTGAGAAGCTTCTTTCCATCATACTCTTCCACCATGCCATTTCAGCCTTGGAGCTAGCTGGCTATTGCCAGAATCTCTCAAAACCATGAGTCAAACTGAAGCTCTCCTTAAGTTGCAGGTGTCAGATCTATTGTCTCAGTGGTAAACTGACTAATAGACCAACTGACAATGAAAATACTTCAGATCAAGGTCATTTCCAAAAGCAATGAGGTCTATGCTCCTGTAGGAATCACATAAACATTCTTCTTTAGCTTAATATTAAAATGTTATCAATGTTAGCCACATGTCAGATATGATATTAGAAACTACAGCAGCTCTTTAAGAAGTAATTAAATATGCTAACTGTGCAAACCTTTGGTCACTTTCTAAAGGTTACTCATCAACTAAGAAAAGGATTGGAATCCAAATCTCTTTAGTTCTTAGTATTGTTCTTTTAGTATATGATGTATCTCTTTTTTAAAAAAGGGAGTTAAATATTATTATAATGTACTTTTGGTCCTCAAATGGTTTTGTTCCATGACTTAAAATGGCTTTCAATAAGAAATTATTTGAATTATCCAATATGTATATTAATATATTAGGTAAACATAATACAATCTGTATATACACAGCAGATTTCAGACATAGAAAAATGTTTTGGGGCAGAGATAATTCATGATATAGTTTATTTTCTCATAGCAACAATGTCAAAACAGCCAGATCAATCTCAAAAGAGTGATGTGATGTAACAATTTAGAAAAATCAAAGAAAATATTCCAGATATGTAGTTCAGAAACCAATAAATATGATCAGAGTTTGCTCTTTAGAATAAAGCTATGTTTAACATCAGTTTTCTCAATTATAAGATAGTGCCAAAATAAATTGCTTGGAAGCCTCCATTCATGTATAACATTTAAAGTTTCAAATCTCCACCACATAATTTATTTAACACTTACTACCGAGACACTTAAATAAAGCCAAATTTATTTATTAATTATAGTTGAATACTATATTATGTATTCTTTGAGAATAAAAATACTAAAGCAAAAAATAGAAAAGCAGCTCTTATCTCTTTATCGATGACCTAAAAAAGCAATGTTTCTAATGATTATTCTAATCACAAAACTAACTTTTAAAAAGCATCTTTGTAAAATGAATCATCGTAAAAAAAATGGGCCATTGATCAGGTTTAACTGTGTAGTGCTCTAAATTCTCTTCTAATAACACTGATCACACAAAAAAAAAAATCCTAGAGCAAACTTTAAAATCCATTTATGGATTTTCCTATCTTTATAAATCTACTATAAAGCAATTATTCAGCTATATTTTGTCTTATACTTATTTTAATTTTTAGGTATGTTTATATTGGCACATTATTTATCAAGTCATTAGAATGATAGTTTAATTTCTTGATAGCAGCCATTCTTTGTGGGGTGAGGTGGAATCTCAGTGTTGTTTTCATCTGCATCTCTCGAATGACCAGTGATGTGGAATATTTTTTCATATATTTACTTGCTGCTTTTAATTCTTTGTCTGTGAAATGTCTGTTCATTTGTGATGCCCATTTTTGAATTGGGTCTTTATATTTGTGGGGGCTGATTGTTTTAAGTTATTTATATATTCTAGATAATAGTCCCTTGTCTGAGGAGCAGCTGGTAAAAATTTTTTTCCCACATTGTAGGTTGTCTCTCAGTTCTGTTGCTCGTTTCTTTTGCAGTGCAGAAGCTTTTTAATAAGACGAGATCCCAGTTGTTGATTCTTTCTGCTGGCAGGGTTGTGGGGAGAAAGGAACCCTTCTGTATTGTTGGTAGGAGTGCAGATTGGTACAACCACTATGGAAATCAATATGGAGAAACCTCACAGAGCTGGGAATAGAGGTTCCATTTGACCCAGCCATCCCTCTGCTGGGTATCTTTCCAAAAGAATTAAAAGGATCATATCACAGTGATGTATGCAGCACAGTTTGTAATCGCTAAAACTTGGAAACAGCCCATTTGCCCATCAGTTGGAAACTGGATAAAGAAGATGTGGTTTTTCTATAAAATTGAATATTACTCAGCCATAAAGAATGAGAAATTAGAATCATTCATAGGAAATGGATACTTACTGAGGATATACTGCTAAGTGAAATAAATAAGTCACACATGTATAAATACTGAATATTTTCTCTGGTGTGAATAAACTGTAACAGTACATAAGATCCTAATGAGATAACTGACATTGTGAAATGGAAAAAAAGGGCTAAAGGTGTAGGGAAGGTGGGATGGGTAGGGGAAGGGTAATAAGGGAAAAGAAAAAAAATGAAAAGATGGAAATAAAGTGTTTGTAAATGGGGAGGGGATGGGGGTTGAAGGGAGGGCAGGGACAAGGGGAAAAAATGAGAACCAAGACCTGTCCTGTAGAGGTACAAGATCCCAACAATGTACTGTATCCTTAAAATGTACCATTAAACTCAATAAAAAAGAATAATAGTTTAAGAGCAAATTAAAGTTCTCATGATATTTCAAACAGTTTTGTGAACAATAGGTATGGTAGTTCCAAACGTTCATTTTATACAGGAACCTTTTAAAAATAAAAAATTATATATTTCACATTTTTAAATTATTAAAATAAAGATTAAAAGACCAAGAAATTTAATTATTCCAATGATGACCTGATATTTGGAAAATGGTGAAATGACTTATTTCATTTGTAAATAGTGAGTAATTGCCCACACAGTCATGCATGCTATGTTTATTTACTCAAATATTTTCAAGTATAACAAAAATACACATCAATACAAATGGATAGGTGAAATGTCAAATCTTCAATTATACTGTACTTTTAGTTTGGTCAAGGCACATCATAAGAAATAAGTGTACTTAATACACTGTTTAATTCTTTTTTTCCTTTCTTTTTTTTTTTTTTTTTTTTTTTTTTTTTTTTTTTTTTTTGATACTGGGGATTGAACTCAGGATCTTGCTCTTGTGAGGCAGCACGGGCACTACTGTACTAAACCCCTGCCCGACTTTATCACTGCTTATGTCTCTTTTAAACAATTAATAATCTTAATCTAGGTTTATACAAGTCTGTACAAAATACAGTCAATATGATGGATGAATTATTTTACATGAAATGATACACAGTACTCACTTGGCAGCACATCAGCTAAAATTGGAAGCAAATAGAGAAAATTGGCATGGCACCTGCACAAGGTGACATGCAAATTCTACATTATAGAAAAATTGTACAAAATTTGTACAAAATTGTACAAATTGTACATTAATACCTTAATTGTCCAGTTGTCATGAACAATACTATACTCCAGTATGAAAGAACTGGGTTCTAGGCCAGAGGCTGCAACCTTTAATCCCTAATAACCGAAGAGGTGGGATCCTAGGACAGATTGAAAGCCCAAAAGCCAGCTACACTTAGAAGACATCTCTGAAAAGTAGTCATTACCTAAGGAGACAGTGATACTAGTACCATGCTGCCTCAGTTCATGAAATTAATTTTTTCCATGATTCTAGGCCTAAATCAAATTGGATGAGAATTGAATTAAATTCAATGGTTGGATTCAGAGTTGACTTTATGGGAAAATTGGATTTGGTTTTCATTCAGTTTTATTTGTGAACAGAATTGTGGAAAGAATTAAGATTATGAACCAAGGTGCCACTGTTATAAAGCTACCTACCATAAGTAATTTACAAGTCTCAATGCAGAAAACAAATAAACAACAACAAAAAATTAAAACTGAGAAAACATGGAAGCAAAATGCACCTCAAAACCCCTAACTCTCCCAAAGCAAACTCAGGAGCCATTGAGGTAGAAAAAAAATCAAAAGCTACCAAGCTGAATTTTTGGAAGAAGTATCGAAGTGGTTGATAAGACTCCTGACAAATCCAAAACAGAAATTATTACAGATAATTAAAGAGATGGTGACCAAAATGGAGAAAATGTTTAGTGAATCTAGCATAGATACAGATTAAAAATTAGAGAAGCATAGGAGAAACATGGAAACCACAAATGCCCAACATAGAAAAGAACTGGATCACATAAAACAGAATCAAAGAAATTCAGGAGATTAAAAATGCTACTGAAAATGTGAGAGAATGAAAAGATGAAAATAAAGTGTTTGTAGATGGGGAGGGGAGGAGGGGATGAAGGGAGGGCAGAGGTAAGGGGAAAAAATGAGAATCAAGACTTGTCATGTAGAGGTACAAGATCCCAACAATGAATGTAACTGTATTGTATCCCTAAAATGTACCAATAAACTCAATTAAAGCTGAAAAAAATAAATGCTACTGAAAGTATATGTAGCAGAGTCAACCAGTGTGAAGATGGAATATCAGATATTTAGAACACAAGGTTGTGGTTGGCGATCATCAAATTAAAGATTGCTTTTTTGATTAATATAATTGATACATTTAATGTATAAAATATAATGACATTGATTGTTGGAAAATCCAACAGCTACCAAACAATGGAAAGAAGACTGATGTTAATTAATTGAAATCAATGAGAAAATAGAAAATAGCACAAAGGGCAAAAAATTTTTGGTCACAGGAACAACAGCAGAAAACATTTCAAGTATGGAAAAATAATTTAACATACAGAGAAGTGAGGCATGTAGAACTCCAAATAACCATAATCAGGAGAAAACACCAATGCATATAATAGTCAAGATTCCAGAAATTCAATACAAAAATAGAGTACTAAAAGCTGTTAGACAAAAGAAACAAATCATATATAAAGGAAATCTATCAGAATCATGGCAGACTTCTCCACACAAACTATTCACAAGAAGAGTTTGAATTATTTCAAGCCCTAAAAGAAAATAAGTTTCAACCCAGACTGATGTACCCTGAAAAACGACCTTTCAAAATTGATGGAAAAATAAGATACTTCTATGATAAAGAACAAGTGAAGAAATTCATGACCAACAATCCAGCACTCCAAAAAGCACTGGAGGATGTTTTAGAAAAAGACAATGAAGACAATGCAAAGAATCTCAATAGAATGAATGCACCAGGCAAGGCAAACTATGAAATAGAAGAGGAAGAAAGAGAACCAAAAAGAGCAAAATCATAGAATGACAAGGATAAGTCAAAATGTATCAGTTATAACCACCAATGTAGATACTCTCAATTTACCAATCAAAAGAAACAGACAAAAACAAAAAACAAAACAAAACAAAACAAAAAAACATAGAAACAGACTGGCAGAATAGATCAAGAATCAAGATCTAACAATATGCTGCATACTAGAAACACATTTAACTCAAAAATAAATTCACAGACTAAAAGTCAAAAGATGGAAAACAATACTGCATGCAACAGGAACCTCAAAAAGAGAAAGAGTAGCTATATTTGCAGACAAGGTGGATTTCAAGCCAAAAATGATCAGAAGAGACAAAGAAGGTCACAGCATACTTGTGAAGGGAACATTCCAAGAGGAAAAGATAACAGTCATAACTATAAATGCACCAAATACTGGCATGTCCAACTATATAAAACAAACACTAATGGATATAAAATGAGAGAAGTACCAATACAATCAAGATGGAGGAGTCAATACCCCAGTGTCACAAACAGACAGATTAGCTTGACAAAATCAACAAAGAAATATAAGGCAAATATTAATGGCCATGAAAAATCAAATAGGAACTAATATGATTGTAATGGGGAACCTCAATACCCACTGTTACAAAGAGAGATTAACCAGACAAAATAACAAAGTAATAAGGAGCGAAATCAAACCTTTGAAGAAATGCACTCAGTAGATATCTACAGAATGTTCTACCCCACATCAGAATACATATTCTTCTTAGCAGAACAGGGGACTTTCTCCAAAATAGATTACATGCAAGCTCATAAAACATACTTATGTAACTGCAAAGTAATTGAGATTATCCTATGCTTATTATCACATCATAGTCAAATGAAACTGGAAATCAAGGGCAAAAAAAACTGTAAAAACTGATAAATACATGGAAATTAAATAGCAATCTCATGAAAACCAATGTAACACAGATGAAATTAAAGAAGCAATAAGACAGTTTCTGCTTAAACAATAATACCAATACAACATACTGGAACTTATGAGATACAGTCAAAGCAGTCCTATGAGGGAAATTTATAGCAGTGAGTTACCACATCGCAAAAACAACTAAAAAACCTAATGTTAAAAATAAAGCTATTAAAAGATGATCAGGTTAAACCCAATGCACATATAAGGGAAGAAGTTATAAAAATAAGAGCAGAAATTAATGCAATTGGAACTGAGAAAGCAACATAAAACAATACAAGAATCAAGCAATTGAAGAACTGGTCTTTTGAAAGATTAACTGAAGCACAGAAACCCTCAGCTAACCTGATTAAAAAAAGAAAGAAAAGACTCACATCCATGCAATTAAGAATGAAAAGGGTGAAATCACAACAGATCCTGAAGAAATCTAGCTCTTCAGTACATGCTTTGAAAAGCTGTATTCTAATATGATGGAAAACAAAGAAAAGATAGATGAATACCAACATACACGTGAATTACCAAAGCCGAATCAAGAAGATATAAAAATTCTAAATAATTCAACATCAGCCACTGATAGTCTATCATTGTCCTGACAGATTCAATGCTGAATTCTACAAGAAATTTATAGAAGGTCTAATGCCACCATTCCTCAAACTCTTAATGAAACTGAAAGGGAAGCAATACTCCTGAACTCATTCCTAGAAGCAAGGATTACCCTGATACCCAAAGAAGAAAAGGACCTAATCATAAAAAGAACTACAGGCTAATCTCTTTAATGAACATACATACAAAGATCCTTAATAAAATATTGGCAAAAACAATGCAGGAAATCATCAAAAAGATTAAATAAGCACCATAACCAAATAGAATTTATCCCAGTGATGTAGGGGTGGCTCCACATAAACAAATGAATAAATGTAATATACCACAGTAACAGAACCAAGGAGAAAAGCCACATGATCAAATCAGTAGATTCAGATAAAGCATCTGACAAAGTCCAACACCCATTCATTATAAAACCTCAAAAGAAAATTGGAATTGAAGGTCTTTATCTCATTCTGATAAAAGGCATCAATGACAAACCAACAGCCAACATCACACTAAATGTTCAAAAACTGAAACCTTTCACTCTAAAACCAGAAAGAAGACAAGGATGCCCACTACCACCACTTCTTATCAGTATAGTTCTGGAAACATAGTAATTAGATGAGAGAAAGAAATAAAAGGAGTATGGATAGAGAAATTATATTATTATTATTTGCAAATGACAAGATGCTCTATGTAGAAGACACCCAAAACTCCACCAAAAGACTCCTAGAATTAATAATCAAATTTGGAAGTGTAGCAGAATGCAAATTTCATACTCAAAAATCAATAGCACTAACAATCTCACTGAGGTAGAAACTAGGGAAACAAATTTTTCACAGCAATGGCAAAAAAATGAAATACTTAAGAATCAATCAAAAAAAGAAGTGAAGGATCTTTATATTGAAAACTAAAGTAATCTGAAACAAAAATAAGACCAAAGAGTATGTCAGAAAATGAAAAGTTATCTCCTGTTCTTGAACACACAGAACCAATATAATGAAAATGTCCATATTTCCAAAATTGATAAAGAAATTTAAAGCAATTATAATCAAAATACCAATGCTATTTATGACAGAACTACAAAAAAAAAATCCTAAAATTTATATGGAACCAGAAGAGACCTAGAAAAGAAAAAGAAATTCTGGGCAACAAAGGCAAGGCCAGGGACATCACAAACCCTAATTTGAAGTTACACTGCAAAGCAGCAATGATAAAAACAGCATGGTACTGGCAAACAAAACAAAACAGACTCGAGGATCAATAGAAGAGAATTGAAGATGCAGAAACAACTCCAAGAATATTCAGCTACCTTATCTTTGACTAAGAAGCCAAACACCTTCAATGGATGAAAAATAGCCTCCTGACTAAATGGTTCTGGAAAAGCTGGCTTTCCACATGCCAAAGATTAAACTTTGACCCATGTGTCTCACCATCACTAAAATTGAAATGGATTAAACATCTAAATATTGAAATAGAAACAATCTGCTGGAGAACAGAAAAGTTTAAAAGTTCAGGCCAAAACGTTGTGAACAAAACTTCAATCACATAGGAAATATTACAAAGAATCAACATCTGGGATCATATCAAATTAAAAAGATTTGCACAGTAAAAGAAACCACCAAGAGAGTGAAGAGA